CCCAAACCCCAAAAACAAAAATGAAAAACCGAAAACAAAACAAAACAAAAATTCAGTTTTAACCAAAAAAAAAAAAAAAAGAAGTATAAAATAAAAATTTTAACATAAAATTGAAAATATAATTCAACGCCCAGAACCAAAAGAGAACTCAACAATATCCAATCTTGAACTTACAATTTTTTCATTTTTACTTATAAAGACGAACCTTTTTGTTTGTCGCGCAATCCTCGGAGACGATCTGCAACTCTTGTTCATGTCTATGCTGAGATATGAACTGATTGTTGGTTTCTAATGGACCCCAGAATCTGTAAAACCCAGATCAGTAATAAGGTTATAAATATTAAAATTCGCAGTAAATTTTAAAAAATCAAAATTAATCAAAACCCAGAAGATTCATCGGCTATACTTGTTGGTGAAAATCATCCCAAGCAAGAAGAAAAAGATGGAAAAAATGGGAATCCATTTTGCAGAAACTTTTCCATAGTTTTTATTCTTCATTTTTTTTTTTTTTTGTCTTTCTCACACAACTGAAGATAAAAATTCCTGGTATATTATGAATGTTCTATATACCAGAATTCATCAACTCTGTGTGTGCGTGTATTTGAAATTTGCTGTATGTATCTTATAAGCAAGATGAAAGAGGTGGGTGTGGGTGTGAAGGGTTGGGGTGGCGATGGGTATGCTGTATACGGAGAATGTTGCCGGAATTAGGAATCATTTTCAAAGGATGGCTGGATATTATATAGGGAAATTTGCAGAAGGTCACAAATCTTCAAAAAAAATATGCTTTTAGATCCTCAGCTTTCTAATCTTTCACACTAACATCCCAAAATTTACATCCAAAAATCTGTTGATTGATAAAAAAATTCAACGTTTGACCCTTTTTAAGAAGGGTAAAATGGTCTACTCACATTTAATTAATGAAAACCATTAAAAAATAAGAAATGAATTAAAAAAAGAAAAAGTAAATGAAAAAGATGTCTTCTTTTCCCAAACTTATCCCCACCACAACCGACGAGTCCACTACCGCCCTCACATCTCCTTTACTGAATGAATTATTCTTTTATCGATCCTATTAAAATTCTGCACAGCATTATACAATTTTAATTAGCTTGAGGAGGAGGAGGAGGAGGTGGTGGTGGTGGTGGTGGTGGTGTTTTCTATTGATGGTGGGGGGACAAATTTAGGGAAGAAGACATTTTCTTCTTTTCTTTTTTCATTTTTGTCTATTTTATTTGTTTTCATTAATTAAATATAAAAAATCATATTGCCCTTCTTTAAAAAAGTCAAATCTTGATTTTTGGGTGAATTGATAGATGTTTGGATGGATTGATAGATTTTTGGATGGAAGCGTCTAAAGGTCATTCCGAATTTCCGACGTACACTTATTAAGGACCTGTTTAAGCCTCATCCTTTTGTCAAAATATATTTTGAAATAGTAATTTGATAAAAAATGTATGATTAAAAAATAAGAAAAAATTTGAAGTTTGCGTGTAATATTATTTTATTAAAAAATGTGTGAATGTGTGACTAAAAAATAAAGAAAAATTTTGAATTTGCGTGTAATGTTATTTTATTAAAAAATATATGATTAAAAATAAAAGAGTTAAAAAAGTATTTTGAAATTAACAAGCATGAAATGTGCTCTGAAAGATTTGAAATGTAATTGTTAATATTAACTTATTAAGAGGTTTAAGACATGACTGTACATTTTTAAAGATTTAGTACCTCTATTGAAAATTTTCCAATTATATATATTTGTAGCTGTACGATATGTCTCGTATGAATGCATTATGACTGCTTATTTATGTGTCAAATAAAGATATACACATAAGAAAGCAATTTCGATGATAATGTAGCCCCTCTCGACAATCATTAAAATAAAATTAATTTTTATCATATATTTATACAATAAATATTTTATATTTAAATCCAATATTATACTTTTAATCACACATTTTTCAAAAAAAAAAAATCATTATTTTTAAAACTCATTTTTCGTATAAAAAAAAAACTTATTTTAATGGTCGTCAAACATGGACTTAAATAATACAGTACATTGTTTATGATACACTTTAATATTTACAAAACATAATTCACATCCAAATTAAACGAGGCGTGCAAAATAGTAATTTTTTATTTGTATGAATGAATTATTTTTTTATCAATGTTTTTCGCTTGAGTCATTCAGAAGATGAGCAATTAATATTTACGATCAAATATTATGCATTAAAATTATGTATGTAATTGTATATCAAATAAATTTAATGTTATAATATAATATGAATCATGTCATTATATATGTAAATTTATTCATGAGAAATTTCAATAATTTCAGTTCAAAAAAAATCAAATTGAATAATTGAGAATTTTTTACTATGTAAGATGTATGCATCAATGAAATCCATGTATGTATGCATGTGTATGTATGTGTATGTATGTATGTAATGTTATGTATAATTTAATTTAATTTAATTTAATTTAATTGTAAGCCTGCAGGGAGACGCGGGGGCGACCGTCCAAAGATTTGATGTGGTATGTTTGGAAAATTGTAAGAACGTGTGCCCATGTCCTCGGGCTTAACGTTAACATCAACCGCATGGTAACGCGTAACACAATAATTGATGTCCGCATTTCATTGAATTTTCTCTTTTTCGAATTTTCAAAGACAATAATGTCCAATTTTTCAATTAATTAAATGAATAACTTTTTATTTAGAGTTTGTTTGGGAGGAATTTTAATCCAATTAAAATTAAAAATATAATCGTTATTAGATCTCACTCGTCTAATAAAAGTCAACATTAACGACTAATTTTTAAATTTTAATCTGATTTTAATCTCTAAAAACAAGTTCTTGTAAAGATATAAGAGTAATGTTATTCAACCGCATTAGTATTTATCATCAGTTTATGAATTCATTACGTGTCTTTAAATGTTTTAATATCTTAAATGAAGATATATGAATCATATTCAAACTGTTCAATTATTTAAAAACACTCGATCGATGCTTACATAGTGGAGTTGAGTAACATTCAAAATATAAGAATTGGAGTTAGATATGTTAAAAAAAGTTTTTTTTTGTTTTTTTAATTTATAAAATACGTTGTTAGAAAGTAAGTAAAAATGACGAGTTCACGCGTAAAATTTTGAGAAAATGAGGGCAAAATTGATTGAAACATTAGAATAATTTTGGTGCCAAATAAAAGTGGCTATGCGAGAAAAACAAGGTGAAAAATAATTTTTAATCATCAATAAAATAATTTTACGCATAAACACCGCCTTTTGCATTTAATTTTTCTCTTTAGAAACACTATTAGGTATAGATCATAATTACTCAATGATATTAAAAAAAAAGGGGGAAAAGTAAAAAAGTATTCATTACGTTGTACAATTTTATCTTTAAGGATCTGGTGAAGATGATAGAATATCAATTAACAAAACTAAGAGGGAAAAGAATTCAAATTTCTATTTATTATAAAATCAGATACTATTTAATAATCATATCAAAAATTGCACTCCAAACGTAACGTTACTAAACTTTGTAATAAGAGCTTGTTTGGGAGTGATTTTAATCCAATTAAAATTGAAAATATCGTCGTTATTCGTCTCACTCGTGTAATAAAAGTCAATAATAACGGTTAGTTTTTCAATTTTCAAGCCTCAAATTTATTAAAACATAAATTTAATTTATTGTAAAAGTTGTCTTAATTAAAAATTTTATATAGCTAGTTGGTCTTCTAGTTTTGATCGATGATGTCCTTTTGTCAAACCAGTGTGAATTTGACCCTAAAATTGATAAAAGCATACAAAAGTTGACCATAAAAATATGCTATTACAAATCTGACTGAAAAAGATTTCGTAATTATCTAAATAGAAAATAAAGAGAAAGAACTTCGTAAACTATTGAACTGTAATCACGGTATTCCTTCTCCACAAGTAAGGATATATTAATAAAATTTTGGAGGTACCGTCCTCCTTCCCCAAAAAAAAAAAGTATGGATATAGCACAATATAAATGGCAATGTAAAGTAAAGTGCAATAATTAAAAAAAAAAAAAAAAGCTTATATAGCTATTTCATACATCTCGAGTAACGTATATTTGTCCGTGACGTATTTACGGAATAATATCGTTTAAATAAAACATAGTTGTGGTTAAACGAACAAGAAAGAAGTTTATTTGTTGTGAGGGAGTTAGAAATTATTTAGGGGTTTATGAAACAGACAAACAGGCAAAACCTATATATTTCAAAGTCTAGGTCTTCCAAACTGTTACTTTTCTCCCCTTGTCTAATCATTGGTACATTGTCTAACTCTTCAATGCCTCTCTATTTGACTATTAAATTCCCCAAAAAATAAAAAAAATGCCGAACACCGAGGATTTTTGGATTTTCAAATGATGCATACCAGTTTTTGGATCGACGTATAGCAATTGGTGCTTGGTAACTCAGACCGGAATCGCTGGTGGAGCATCCATCCATGGCGATTGTTCTTCATATCATAGTCGGATCATTCAAGAACACTTGTTGTCGTTAGCTATTGGATCGCCAACAACAATCAAACCTAATTTTTACGTTGACAATTGTAGTACTGATCACCGGCTCCCAAGCATTACTAACATCAATTAGTTGTCAATTTGCAAAAATAATTGCTAGTCGTCAATACATCAATCGTCTATCCCTAATCATGACGACAACCAACTACCGCTAAGCTCTACTCGCCAGCCTTATTCACTAGCAATAATAACCAACCTTCACCGATCCATCACCATCAATAAGTAATTATTAATCCATATGTCAACATTGAGCACCATTGATAAATGATAACAACCAAGCTTCAGTTATCAAAGCCAGTAGTTGTCAATTAACCAACTATTGATCATAAGTACTTGAAAAATAACCTTAATTATCACGACATTTGCTAGCTCTTGGCAGTTACCAACATCATTTTATGACTATTATCAAGGTCAACAAGAATCCACTTGCCCGGTGGACAACCAACAATGGCGATTGGCAATTGCATAAGATGATAATACATAACCCTCTTCTCAGTGGCGGAGCAAGCCCAGCTTCTATAAAAAAAAAAAATTGGTTAAAGCCCATTTTTTTCCAACTGTCCAATCCAGTAGCCCCTCATACCCTTCATTCTTGGCTCCGCCCCTGCCTCTTCTAGTTTATTACAATATCAAACTCAATGTTACATTTATACCATGTAGCATTTGGCAATTTAATATAGCACTATAAAATATAACACACAAAATATGAAAAATCCACATTATTTTTTTTCATTATCATTCTTCTACTCATTTTCAACCACACATTTTTCAATAAAATAATATTTTCTATCACATCAATAACTTTTCCTTATTTTTTTCAACCACATATTCTCCATTACGTGTTATCAATTTTTTTTTCATTTTAGCCCCTATTTGATCCACATTATTTTTTTATTTTTATTCTTCCACTCATTTTCAACTACACATTTTTCAATAAAATAATATTTTCCATTACATCAATAACTTTTCCTTATTTTTTTCAACCACATATTCTCCATCACATCACTTCAAAACAAAATGCATTCTCTCATTTTAACGTGCACCAAACGGGCTCTAAAGCTTAGAGGTGTAGGCACAATCCTTTTTTTAGAGCGTGTTGGGCTAGACCGAATGGAATCTTCCTGAGGCACTTGGGTTGGAGGAAATCTGAAGTTGATGATTGGCATCTTATATTAGGTTGGAGGGAATCTTCCTGAGGCATTTGAGCCGTAGGGAATTTGAGGCATAAAGAATCGCCTTCTCTTTTGTTCTGCCACATTTATGTCGAAGGAACCTTAAACTTAGGTTTTATTTCTTGATCGGAGATATTCTTTCAATTATCAAAATGTTCTCGATTTGAGATATTCTTTCAATTCCTGAAATGTTGTTGATTGGAGATATTATTTCAATCCCTTAGAGCTTAAATCAAGATATTATTTCAACTAGATGCCTTAGAATCAAATAGAGTTGGCTTGTGCAGGTCAAAGGTGGTGAGTCCACTATATGTTCTTAGCTTAATTCCCATACCGAGGCTACACAATATTCCTTAATGAGTTAATTGAAGCGAGCTGTGATAGGTCCATCCCTTGCTTATTGGGTTTTCAAATCAAAGAGTTGGCTCGTGCATATTAAATGAGATAAATGCACTCTTCTTAGCATAGCTATGTTGTCGAGACTTTTGTAATATGATCATCTCACGAAGGGAGGAAAATGTAAAACAATCATGTCGAGTGCCAAGACATAAGTATTGTCGATCTCTTCTTAGCTCCGAGGTATTATGAGGAAGCAGATTTAAAATTTTTGTTATACCGAAGCGTTACTCGAGATTTTTGTGATATGATTATCTAGTGAAACTAGGAATAGGTGGAACGATCCTCTTAGATGGCGATGCAACCATGAGCTAGGACCTACATCTGGACGCTGGTTTTGGCATCAGTGATAATCACAAGCCAAGGTTTGGAGAACTTGTAGATGCCTCGAATAAACTATTGTAATGTGTGCCACATGGCAATTTCAATTAAAAAAAAAAAATCGTTGTAAGGTTAATTTTCAGTTTTAAGGTGCCATTTTTGCCTCAATCTTGGGGCCTAAGACGAGCTCAAAAATGCTCGACTCTTGTATCATTTTAAATATCTTGTTGCATACTTCGAAATGAATATTGAATCGCAAAAGTATTGATATTTTTTGACATTAGTTCTTGACATTTTAGATGACATCCCTTCTATTTGTAGAAAATCTAATCATTAATTGGACAGAATATCTTTAAAATCAATGTACAAAAAGCTGTCAACTCACATAATATCGTCCGTGGTGTCAAAGCTAATCACACCAAACGAGACTAATTGAAAAATTCCAACGACTGGGGACCACACGGCCAGCTGAAAGTGGGCTGTCCACTTGACCGAAATGGGCCACCATGTTTCTAGAATATGCATTTTAGTCATTGGACTCTACTTTCAATTTTGTCCAATCAAGTCCTAAAACTTTTAACAACTTCCATTTGACTTTCAATTTTGTCCATATAATTTCTCCCACGCCAAAAAGTCTCTTGGGTCAAAATTTAATTACGAATGCCTTAATTTATTTCGACCAATCAACTAATTTTAGCCTTCTAAATTTATTTTCTTTTCAAAAATAAATTTAAATGAAATACGATTCAGAACTTTACTAGTAATATATGTTCATTCATTGGGATTTTGCATTTTGTAAATTTTCAAGTCGAACGACATTTGGGCTCTATATTGATGCAGTCGTAACCCTCTCGAGTAAGAGCCACATCAGTATTTTGGTTCGATTTATTGTGTTTTACTTTTTTGAAATTTAGCTCATGTTTGACACACATTATTTCAAAATTCATTTTCAACCACTCATGTTTCAATAAATAATATTTTCTATCACATCAATAATTTTTCCTTACTTTTTAACCATATATTTCTCATCATATCATTATTTAAAATACATTCTTTTCTCAATAATATCTATCAAACACATGTTACAGATCCTTGGTCCCTGAACCAAGTAAACTTGGCCTCGGATTAAGCTGTCTTTAACATGATAGAGTTAGATTGTACTATCTATTTATACATGTACAGCCATAAAATTGTGACACCACTTCTTATTCATACTCTATGTTTGAGGATAAACAATTATTCAAGTTCATGAACATATGAAATCGTTGACAAGTAATAAATTTAGTGTACGTATGAGATCCTTAATAAGTAATAAATTTAGTGAGTTGGGAGTATCGTCCCACGTGAAATACGCTTTCAATCAAATTGTATCAATTTGTAATCGAACTCGAATGTAAATAACAAAAGAAATTTATTATTTTTAATCTAAATTATCTACTAATTACTTAAAATGATTTTTAAAAAAATATGGGATATATGTGTTGAAATTCCGAATCCAAATCAATAATTCATTGTGTCCAACTTTCTTTTTAAGACAAGTTAATTATATTCTAAATATGACATGTTTATATTTCTAATTCAAATTCATATGAATAGAATGCATTCAAACACACAATTATCTAGGTGATAAGGCATTCAATTGCATGATTATCTAGGTAATTGTACACATGATATATGCTAATTGTACACGTGATATATTTAGGTAAAAGTAGACGACTAATTAACTAAGAGGTATTTGTTGTGTCACATCGATGAATTGTTCATAAAGTCTTATTCGAAAAATCTCTCGAAAGAGACGAAACTAATAAGATGCCTCAAGAATATCTACAAGGGACTCTTTATATATAAAGAATATCCTATGTATTATAAAAAATATCTTTAAATTTAGGGAGTCAAAATTTTTATGCACTCGAATAATACTCTCTATTTTGGCTTTTTATTTTTCTTTTCTCAATAATTATTTATTAATTTGTCCTCATATTTTATTTAACATAATTTTTATATGTCAATGGATTTAAATGTGGTTTGAATAGTTTAAGAAGTAGAATATTGGAATCTGTGAGTTATTAAACGTAATTATTGTATATTAAGAATACAGAGTCAAATCCACTATTTATTTTAAAAAATTAAAATAAAGAGTCTCTTGGAGTTTATTTTCAAACATTAGATTTTAAAAATAAAAAAATATTTTCTATGTAGAGAATCTCTTGAAAATGTCTAATATGTTTAAAGGTTAGTTACTTCGAAAATGAGTTATAGTAGATCGTAACACATTGTCTCGGCCGGAAGATCGATCTCTACATGGTGCTTTGATTGATGCAAAGACATTACTTCGACTACCTCTACTTGATGGCCTCGGTTAGGGCAAGTAGCCCAGTGACGTGGAATGCGGGCGTGAGATGACTTGTCGTTGGCTTCCACTTAATCAATTATTGGAGTTTTGTAAGATGAGACGTAATATATTGCATTACAAATTTGCCAAATAAGTAAAATAAATTGTGTTAACAAAAATTCAATGCAATTTGATTGAGAATTTATCGAGATGATGTGATAAAAAGAATGTATAATTAAAAATGAATTTTAAGATATCCAAATTCAAACATAGCCAAATTTGAGCATTTATACAATTTTTGCCTAAAGGAATAATAGTACTGTTTTTCTTTGGCTATTAATAATTAAGGAAAAATATCGCGTTGTATAATTGTGGCAACAGATTGCAACCTTTGCAATTGCACCTTTACTCTTCACAATTCATCTCTCTCGCTCTCATTATTCGCCTCTTTCGCTCTATCTCCTCGTTTAAGGTATTTCTTTCTTACTTTCTCTTAAATTCTTAATCATACAAATAGTTCCATTCCTTATTTTTATTACTGATTTTTGGCTCGTGCGATTTTCATATCTACGATGTGTTATCTGTGGTTTATTTATTTGATTTAGTAATTGTTTCTCGGTAGCTTTTGATTTGTTTTTGATGAGCGGTGAATCGGTGTTGGATTACAATTTTAGGATCTATTTTGGGATTTTTTTCACATCATGTACGGTAAGACAATTGGTAGGTTACAAAATCGATTAAACTAGTGTGCCACGTCAGAGGTGCTTAGAGATCAAAATGATCTAAGCATGAGATGCTTAGTTAGGGTGACATAGCATTATACAATAGGTGAGCGTAGATAATGATTGGTTACAAAATTGATTAGACCACCTCTATAGGGGGGTGTGTGTGTGTAATGATGCATGCGCTTGATAAATTTTCTCTGAATTAATTTACTTTTCTCTGATAAATTTTCTCATAGATTCTTTTTTGGGAATCCTCTGTTCTGATAAGGGAGTTATTGGAAATCCGAAACATGACACTACTTGGATGGCTCCATTAATTAGTTAACGGCCCATTATCATGACTTCCAGGGGATATGCCTGAAATCATTTGCTACTGGAAAAGGCATCTCAGATATTTACCTTTAATAGCTTTAGTTCTTATTTGACTGGATCGATCTTACGTTTCTCTGTCCCCTGAACAGTAGGGTATTTTTTCCCCCTGCCTACCATTTAATTTTACTACACTTTTTTTTTTTGCTCTGGAAGGGAGAATATAGGTGGGATCAATTTACTGTAGTTCAAGATTATTATGGCAATGAGTTTTTGGTTCATCCCTCAATGTTCTTTCTTTTCATATGTGAAAAAGGAGCTTGTTTTCTTGTTGTCGTTTTTTGTTTCTCACATCTGCACGCACTGTCAACCCCTTGGTGGTGGCTGTATATGTAGCTGTACAGGCAGCTGTTCGATCTTTAATGTTTGTGTTGTTACCTATTTCAGCTTCTTGTCAGTTGTTACTTTGCCATGTGTCATTCCCCAATGTATGTTTAATGTGTGTGCACATTATATTGTATTTTACCATGCGCGATCTCATTAGAATTTCATTAGCAGCTTCCTTTATCTGTCTTACAAGGATGGCGGATGGTCATGAAACTGATAAGAACATTGAGATATGGAAAATCAAGAAGCTCATTAAGTCATTGGAAGCTGCTCGAGGCAATGGTACCAGTATGATTTCCCTTATCATGCCTCCACGCGATCAAATATCTCGTGTTGCAAAGATGCTTGGAGATGAATATGGGACTGCATCTAACATCAAAAGCAGAGTGAATCGTCAATCTGTTTTAGGTGCAATTACATCTGCTCAGCAGAGACTGAAATTGTACAACAAGGTTCCTCCAAATGGGCTTGTGTTTTACATTGGAACCATTATAACTGAAGATGGGAAGGAAAAGAAAGTCACGATTGACTTCGAACCCTTCAAGCCCATAAATGCATCCCTCTATCTCTGTGACAACAAGTTCCACACTGAAGCATTGAATGAACTTTTAGAATCTGACGACAAGTTTGGTTTTATTGTTATGGATGGAAATGGGACCCTATTTGGGACATTGAGTGGCAACACAAGGGAGGTTCTTCACAAATTCTCTGTAGACCTTCCTAAGAAACATGGAAGAGGAGGGCAGTCGGCTTTGCGGTTTGCACGTCTGCGAATGGAAAAGCGCCACAACTATGTGAGGAAGACCGCAGAACTTGCGACTCAGTATTACATCAATCCTGCCACCAGCCAGCCCAATGTGTCAGGACTCATACTTGCTGGATCAGCTGATTTCAAGACTGAGCTCAGTCAGTCTGATATGTTTGATCCTCGTCTTCAGGCAAAGATTTTGAATGTAGTGGATGTTTCATATGGAGGGGAAAATGGCTTCAACCAGGCAATTGAACTGTCTTCTGAGATCTTATCCAATGTCAAATTTATACAAGAGAAGCGCTTAATAGGCAAGTACTTTGAAGAGATCAGCCAGGATACAGGCAAGTACGTTTTTGGTGTTGATGACACGTTGAAAGTTCTGGAAATGGGCGCTGTTGAAACGCTCATTGTGTGGGAAAATCTGGATACAGTTAGGTATGAGCTAAAGAATAGCTCTACTGGTGAAACTATCATTAAACACTTGAACAAGGAACAGGAGGCTGATCAGAGTAATTTCCGGGATCTGGACACAAATGCAGAATTGGAGGTTCAGGATAAGAAGCCATTGCTTGAGTGGTTTGCTGAGGAGTACAGACAGTTTGGTTGTACCCTCGAGTTTATCACCAACAAATCACAAGAGGGATCTCAGTTTTGCAGAGGTTTTGGAGGAATTGGAGGAATCCTCCGTTACCAGGTGGATGTTCGAGCTTTTGACGATCTTTCTGATGATGGAGAGGGTTATGACGATTCTGAATAGCAATCAATCAACCTTTCAAACTCCGGGGCAGGGATTGAGCGGGAAACCTGCACTGGTGCGCGAGGGCTCGCCCCTTACTGTGCCGCTCATCAAGTGCTGAAAAGAATTTAACTTTTGTTGAGGTCAGTAGCATGAGGGAAATTTTAAATTACCATCATTATTCCTGTTGCGTTTAGTTTTGCTCTCTTCATGTCTTGTTTACGTGCATGTTGGCTTAGTTTAAAAATCGGTATAAGTTACTTTTAAACGACTTTTTTCTTCCAAATATGTTTTAATAAGTTACTTTTTCTCTTCTTAATTCTAAGTAAAAAAAAAAGTTGCTTATTTCTAATATTGATCAATATAAAAGTTACTTGATTTAAATCTTACTCCTTTACTTGAAAGTACACTTTTCAAGCTTGGGCAAACATGCTCTACACCATTTGGTAGTAAAGTCAATGTGCTCACTTTTGTTCTTTCTCCAGTCAAGAATTGTGCAGCACTAGTAGATAAACTATCCCGAGAAGGATAGACTGGCATAATCCTCTTCAAGTGTCGGTAGAGCAGGCAATGTGAAGATTTCGACTTTGCTAATTGGATGGAAGACCGAGTTCTTTTGTTCCACTGATGGTATTTTAGGAACTTCACATATGCTCCTGTTGTTTAGCAATTTCGATCTTTATGATTTTGCTTTATGAAAAGAAACCTATGTGCACCAAGAAGTTTTAAGATATTTGTTGAAGTTGAGTTTAACAGTTTAAGCAGTATGTGTGTGAAACTTGGTTATAAATCCTGTATCGTGGTTTTCTTATATATGTTTGACTTAATGTGTGTTATTAAAATAGATTTTGATGCGTGAACATTTTGTTACCATTCTGGGTTCTGAAGTATTTTACATTCTTGATATCTGATGCTTGAATTAGTATATCAGATTTGTGTTTTGTTGATTGAAATTTGCTGTATATGACTTTTCTGGTGAAATATCATTCTATAGATTCGGTTCAAAACTATTCTGGAAACACGAGTGATCACTAATGACCATATTACTACGGTCGAGAATTCAGAGATGACATTGAGGTTGTGAGCTTTTGTGTTTTCATTGGTTGTTTCTTTCGAGCCATTCCTGCAAGTGTTTCTTGTTTGTGTCATGTTTGCTGGTGATGCCCAAATGCTATTAATGCCGTCAATTCAGGTTCTAGATTCACTTCAGTGGTGTCCAAACACCAATTGAACTGCCACATCTTACCTCCGTTCCTTTCTGCAGTGCCACCCTATCTCCTTACCCACCTTCCATTACCATCACCACCACCATCTTTGTCCTGGGCACCATGTCGCGCTCTTCTCCCATCCCACACCGAAGTATCCTGGTAACTAGCACCATCGCCACTCCGGTAACTGCTGCCATACCACCATCTCAGCCAATGTGCATCTGATCGTCTCACCAGTCTAGAAGTCCACAACCCACTTATTGCGCCACCTCTAGAACATCCAAAGGTTTTCCGTTCCGTCTTTAATAGAATCACGCTAGTTTGTCCTTTTGCACCTTCCCGTCTTCGTTGTATTTAGGCTTCCTATCTCGTAAGATTTGTAAAAAGTTCATTACTTTTTAATTTTAGACTGGACTTTTGATAAATTTCGATTTTACTATTGTTAATTAGTCCCACAAATAAATTTCGATTTTACTATTGTTAATTAGTCCCACAACGAGCGCAGTTGTGGTATTTAGTTGTCGTAGAGTATGTTGTTATGAACAAAACGGCAATGATGAGCCTGAGAAATGTGAAGATGAATTAAGGTATGACGCTGCTTATTATGCCATTATGTAAGAAACCGTTAGTTCGACAAAGGGACAGATACTGGATTATATGTAACTTTCCCTTAGAAAATAAAAATTAAAGATACTGGATTGTTACTGAATGTAATGACTATTTCCGGTCTCCTTTGAATAACGCTTTTACAAGAACGCACGTCAGCTTCAAGTATCAAAAACAAGATACAATTTTCTCAGAGAACAAATCTAATTCACGATGATGCTGGAATGAGGAATTCTGTCTAGGATTTTTCAGTGCCAGATAATCCTGAAAAATAATAATCGAAAAGTATGAAGTTATATTCGGGCTATAATGTTCTGCTATCAAGTTACATGCCTAAGCAACAATACACATTAAGAAAATATTCTAGTATCATGTTCGATTACCATCAAGTGATAGCGTTTTACATTAATCAAAATAATATAAGATGTAACACATAGCTTAGCATGATAAAGCACATAAGATGAACAATTAGTGTGTTGATTTCTCTAAATGAAAACATTGTACGTTTTTTAGTACTATTTATTCTCATCTTTACTTTGATTTGTTTCATCTAAGATAATCCTTGTACGTCGGCCATGTTAGCTGATTTTTTTGGCAGTATGAGGAGAGCAGATGCCGACTCCATAGAAAACCAGCAAAAAGAAACCGCATGGCTGAACATACTAAAAGGACTAGTGCTATTCATAAGCAGTGGCTTAATGGTCAGCGGTGATATGCGGTTTAGATGACATTGATGTGGGATAAAATAAAGGTGAATCAAAGTAGATAATCAAACCGAAGGCCCGTGTTCACACGGTTTCCTTAAATCGAATTCGTCGCCTCACCGGGGTGCACGAGGTTTTTGATCGGTGTTCGATTCCCAGGATACAATCGGTTATCGGTCCACGTTGCACTACGTTACCGACCTACGAACTAGCTGCGTCTATCTCTCGAAGAATTAGCAAAGGAGGAATGAGAAACACAAACCG